TATCCAACATTTAAAATTGTTTTCTGTGGGAGAGCTGGAGCAAACAATCTAGCTTACTATTTACCAGAAACACGTTTGGTATCACCATTCTTAAATGTTTTTCATATGTAATATCTACAAGTTTTTACTACCTTGCCCAATTTCAGCCTCTCTCTGTCTTGCCTGTGCTTCCCTGTCTCTCCATTCTCTCTCCTTTCAATGTCCCTCTCTAACATCTCAGGAGCAAAATCAATAAATTCTTCATTTTGTTTCCTACAAAGTAGTTTTCCCCCTTACCCAAGACATCCAACTCCATAGGATCGTATTTGTACCCAGGTGGCTTAACTAACATTTCTCCAAGAGGGTTTCCTTCCCTAAAAGGGTAGGTTCACTATGTTTGGAAGTCTCTAACTCAGCCTGGAGAGATACAGGAAGTATCAGAAGGGAGTAGTACTTAAGCGAAGAGTTATGAAGAATAAGTAAGAGTTAGCGGAGTCTCCCACATCTCTCCAAGCTCAAATAATGACTATTGCAACTGCCCCCATTTCTTTTTTTTTTTTTTTTTTAAATTTTTTTTTTCAACATTTATTTATTTTTGGGACAGAGAGAGACAGAGCATGAACAGGGGAGGGGCAGAGAGAGAGGGAGACACAGAATCGGAAACAGGCTCCAGGCTCTGAGCCATCAGCCCAGAGCCTGACGCGGGGCTCGAACTCCCGGACCGCGAGATCGTGACCTGGCTGAAGTCGGACGCTTAACCGACTGCGCCACCCAGGCGCCCCAACAACTGCCCCCATTTCAAAGTCATCTCTATCCCCAGTTTTAACTGCTGGAATAGGAAATTCCTTTTGCAGACATATGCAGTTGATGTATTGAACTTCATATGGGAATCAGAAATGTGAGGTGAAGGAAATCAGCAGATGAAATATGAACCTCAAGCTTCTGGATTAGTTCAATCTAACCCAGTAGACAAGTACTCCCTTGCTGAGTGTGAGAGGACAGAAAAAAATTCTTGGGGCACCTGGGTGGCTCAGTGAGTTGAGTCCAACTTTGGCTCAAGTTGTGATCTCATGGTTCGTGAGTTTGAGCCCCACATCAGGCTCTGTGCTGACAGGTCAGAGCCTGGAGTCTGCTTTGGATTCTATGTCTCCCTCTCTCTCTGCTCCTCCCCAACTCATGTTCTCCCCTCTCTCTCTCAAAAATAAATATACATTTTAAAAAACAAAAAAATTATTACTGACAACTGGTAATTCTGAGGTTGAGCCAGCCTTATAAAATTTGGGTGTCTCCCAAACTTCTTCCAACTCAAAGGCACTTCTGAAAAAAACAATTGTTTACTGAGCCCTAGCAAAGATTTAAAGATTTAAAGTTAGATTTAAACTCTGTTTTCCAGAAACTTTTACATTAGTGAAACAGTGTACTAATAATTTCAGTATAATATGATGAATGCCATAATAGAAATACATTCAATGTGTTATGGGTCATACAGAACTATCCAAATTCTTTGGGTAAGTAGAATGACTACTAAGGAAGGAATATTTGAACTGTAGTGTAAAGGGTAGATAAGGTGCAGAAAGGTAATCTACACAGAGGGAGAGTGAAATCTGTATTTTAAAATGTTTATTTATTTTGAGAGAGAAAAAAAGGGGGCAGAGGGGCAGAGGAAGAAAGAGAATCCCAAGCAGGCTCCACACTCTGTGCAGAGCCTGATTTGGGGCTTGATCTCATGAGGGTGAGATCAAGACCTGAGCCAAAATCAAGAGTTGGATGCTTAACTGACTGAGCCACCCACGCGCCCCAGGAAACCTGTATTTTAAAAAACTTATCGTAGGGGCGCTTGGCTGGCTCAGTCAGAAGAACATGTGACTCTTGATCTAGGGGTCATGAGTTTAAGCCCCACATTGGGCATAGAAATTACTCAAATAAATAAAAACTTTTTTAAAAATCTTTAAAAAAATTTTTTAACGTTTTATTTATTTTTGAGACAGAGAGAGACAGAGCATGAACAGGGGAGGGGCAGAGAGAGAGGGAGACACAGAATCGGAAACAGGCTCCAGGCTCTAAGCTGTCAGCACAGAGCCCGACACGGGGCTCGAACTCACAGACCGTGAGATCATGACCTGAGCTGAAGTCGGATGCTTAACTGACCGAGCCACCTAGGCGCCCCTAAAAAATCTTTAAAAAATTAAAAAATAGCATGTGATTGTACAAGTAGATGGCACATTTAAATAAAAGGCCAATAGTTTAGTGTGGCTGGAATCAGAATTTAAGGAAGAGGAAAGGGGAAAATGTTGGAGGTAAGAGGGGACCACCTGTCACCTTTTATTAAACACTTTAATAGGTACCTTTGATTTTTTTTATAATATTCTTCCTACTTTGTATTTCTTGTTCAATATTCATCCGTAGTACTGGGAAGTCAATAAATACTATCTAAAGTTAATAAATCAAGAACAAATATAAGAATATCATTTTTAGTTGTAATAGTAACAAAAACTAAAACAGTGGTTGTCTCAAGAAAAGTGGGACTAGGTTTATAAGGTAAAAGAATTTGAGAAGAAATTTTTATTTAACTTTTTTGTATTCTTCTGTTTGTTCAAGTATGTTCATGTGTATATATTGTTTTTAAAATAAAAATTTTTATTGTAGTTAAAAAAAATACTTAAAGTGGAGTTAAAAAAAAAAAACAAAAACTTAAAGTGCCCAGATCTTAAATGTATAGCTTAATAATGTCTACACAGGTAAACATCCACATAAACACTATCCCAATCAAGATATAAAATATTTCCAATGCCTCAGAAGATTCCTTCATGCCCCTTCCTATCCAATACTGCTCCCACTATTTGGACTTCTACCACCATCATCCAGTTTTCACTTCATTTATATGGAATTATACACTATGTACTTAAAAAAAAAACAACTTTTTTCTTTTAATTTTTTTTAATGTTTATTTATTTTTGAGACAGAGAGAGGCAGAGCATGAACAGGGGAGGGTCAGAGAGAGGGAGACACAGAATCTGAAACAGGCTTCAGGCTCTGAGCTGTTAGCACAGAGCCCGATGTGGGGCTCGAACTCACGGACCGCGAAATCATGACCTGAGCCGAAGATGGCCGCTTAACCGACTGAGCCACCCAGGCGCCCCAATTTTTTTTTTATTGATGAATAATACAGTGAAATATACTGATCTTAAATGTTAGCTCAATGAATCTTTATATATTTCCAGCACCCCAGGAGATTCCCTCATGCCTCTTTCCAGTTAAGACTATTCCCACTAAGATAACCACTATTTTGAGTTCAACAACCATTGATTAAGCATTCCCTGCTCTTGAGCCTCATATAAATGGAATCATACAGTATTGTGGTGGCCATGGAGGATGCCACTCAGATTTTTCTTTAGGAGAACCTGCTTCAAGAAGCAGAGTTGACTAACAACCTCTAGCTGCTGCCCTGTAGATCTACCTCCTGAGATCAAGCTCCCCTGGGCTGCTTCCAGCCAAAGGCTGAGCATGGTAGGGATACTAGAGCCTGGCCATTTCTGCCTGATGGGGGCTCCTCCAGTAGACAACCTTTGCTGAAGTCAACTTGACTGAGACTCTCAAAACTGCCCTGCATTCTGAGACTCTTCCTACTCGATTCTTCCCTCCTTCTCTCCCTTCACAGGTTTTAAACCTGCACTGAAGACTTGTCATTCCTCTCCCTTTATTCTTCACAGGCTCTTTCCTTAAAAAGACTTTGGCATGTCTAATTCTAGTTTGGCACCTGCTTCTCAGAGGACCCAAATATAAATATGTTCTTTTGTGTCTGACTTCATTTGCTCAGCATTGTCTGTGAAAGTCATGCATACTGTTATGTATAGCAGTAATTTGTTCTCTCTTATTGCATAAATATGGCACAGTATACATATCCATCCTAAAGTTATTGGACATTTGAGTAGTTTTCAGCTTGGGGCTCTTATGCTAATGTTTTTGTAAATGTATGTCTTTTGGTGAAGACATGCACTCATTTCTCTTGGGTACGTGCCTAGAAAGTGGAGTCGCCAGCTCATAGGCTTGTGTTTAGTAGATATGTCAGTTTTCTAAAGTGGTTGACCAATCTACACTCCCAACAGCATCTACAAGAATTCTTGTTGCATATGATATTTTTACAAATTTAAAAGAAAAAACAACTCTAGTGCAAAAAATAGAAAACAAATTTGTTATATCATCCTACTTTCATGTTTAAATTACCATATTTTGAGGTTTATTTATTTATTTTAAGAGAGGGAGCATGCCCATGAGTGGGGTGGGGGCAGAGAGAGAGAGGGAGAGAGAGAATCCCAAGCAGGCTCCACACTGTCAGTGCAGAGCCCGATGTAGGGCTCGAACCCACAAACCATGAGATCACAACCTGAACCAAAATCAAGAGTTGGACACTTAACTGAATGAGCCACCCATAAGCTCCTAAATTACCATTTTAAACACTGTTTCATAGGAAGACTGTTAACATACCCCAAAATGTTAACAGTGGTTATATTAGAGAAAGAAGGGGAGATCGCCTTCAACTTTGAGAAATATTTGAAATGCTTTACAAGCATATATTTCTTTTACTTTTAATTACCTTGTCTTAAAAATATTAAAGAGAAAAGCCTCAAGATGAGAGAAGAGCAGTCTCCTCCTACACTTCCAGCACATCTCAGGCCCACACCTCCCGGCTTAAACTCCTTTAGTAACCTGCTAGTTTCCAAAGATGTGTCAGAATCTCTTATCTGCTGCCTTGTTCTCTTTATCATTGTGGGTTTACATCTTTTCTAGTACTTTATTTAGTGAGATTTCAAGGAGAGAAAATTAATATGATCAATCTGCCACTCTTAGAAAAGTCCATGCATATAATGTAGGCTGATTTGGGGGCATTATCATGAAGGGAATGGGATCTATCAAAGAAAAGTCAGCTGTTTGTTATAAAGACATTGTTCTAGTGATTGGGGGTGCAGGGGGAGAGGACGGTCTGGGAGGGGAGCATCCAGATGGTTCAAGAGCTAACATAGTTAGGAAGACACTAAGATAGGCTTCTCACCCAGCTGCAGCAGGACGGAGACAGCAACACGGAGGGCACAGAGAAATCTTGCATCAGGGTCATAGCCCACATCGTGGGGCTGCTCACCTCAGTTCTGCTCCAGGACAGACTCCACCTAGAAGGAAACACACCAGACTATAAAAGCTAGGAACAAGGAAACATACCAGAAATGGCAAATATTTCACCACACTTCTTAATCCTGGGCCATGGCAGATGTAATAATCCATAATGGCACATTTTCCTGCAGGGCCTGGAGAGCCTCATTCTTTCTCAACACAGTGACAGGCACTGCTAATCAGCGTTGGCACTGCCATCCTGAGACTAACAGTTTTCCACCCCCCTCTCTTACCCATAGGCTAGCAACAGAGCCTATTAAGCCTGAGTTGTCCTGGAAACCATGTGTTCCAGGGAATTGCCACAAACCAGCTGAATGGATATAAACTGACAGAGAACTACGAAGTAGGAAGGACTGTACCCTGGGACTTCTGAGTCCCTTGAGAACACAGGCATTCACTTCTACTATGACCCTAGCCCTCAGTCCAGGGTGTCTTATCTGGTCTTTCAACAGGGACAGGATCCCCTTTTCCAGGGCCTCAGCCACAAGATGCTGCTCCTAAGATATCTCAGGGCAAAAAAGAGGGTCAAGAGGGTTGCTGGCAGAGAGGGACAGGGCTTCAGTATTTCATCAGACCTGGGACAAACATCAGAAGGAGGTTCCAGAGAGCCCCTAGCAATGATAGATGAGAGTTATTCCAAATGGGCTCTTGTGGTGAATCTTTCTTCCCTCTTAGCTTGCAGGAGGTCAGACTTGCCAGGCGGGTAGAGGAGGCATCCCCCAACCCCTGGCCTGGGGAAAATGACTAGTTCCTAAAGTGTGAAAGTCTATCCTTCACGAAATGTAAAAGGCAATGTATGTCACCTTCCTCCCAGGATTTGAACCCCCACAGACCCCTTTGCTCCACAATTCCTCCACACCAGCATACTTCCAAATCCCTCCTCACCAATCAAGGCATCCAGGACATTCAGAATAGATTCTGTATGTGTTTTTACCAAGATCCCAGCAGCATTAAAAAGCATTAAAAAGGCTACTAACAAGAGGATCTGCTGGACCCTCCAGGTCACCAGAGATCAGGGCCTCAGACACCGAGGGCCAGGAGATGGGGGAGATGAGTGCCAGTCCCACTATAGCAGACTGTCTTCAGTACGGTAACTGCCCTTCCTGCTGGTTCCTCCCTCTCTCTGCTCCAATTCTTTCCTGGGTCCCTTACTCTTTGTTCTAGATTCTGTCGCTGCCCCTCCTTGTTGAGGTGCTTAGTGAGGCAGCTTAGCACAGTCAGTCAGATCCTAGAGGCCTCTCAGCATGTCCTGCACCTTCTCCTTCATGTTTCTGAAGTCCTCCAAACTCAAGGATTTCCCTGTAGAGGCAGCAGTTAAGAACCCAAACTACCCAGCCAACAAGCTCCATTATTACCAAGGCCTCTGTCGACCCCATTCTTCATGAGACCACTTCTCTATTGCTTCCCTTCTAATCTTTTCCAGTTAAAGTAAAGCACCCTTCTTCCCAGATACCCATCATCATTGCCTCCTGCCAACCTCACCTTCACCTTCCCAGCTCAACCCCAGTTGAGTACCAATCCCAAATTCTTTTCCACCTCCAATAAATCAAAACTTACTTAGTCCTTGCCATTCAAAGTGCAGTCTCTGGACCACGCTAGTAGTAGTGAGGATTTAGACAAAGTTAGAGCAGTGGTTCTCAACTTTGTGCATGAGAATTACCTGGGGAGTGATTAAAAATCCTGATGCCCAGGCCACATCCCCAGATAACTTAAATCAGAATTTCTGGAGGTGGGACTCAGGCATCACTAGTTTTAAAGTTCCCCCAGGTGATGTCTACATATAATCAATGAGAACCACTGTGTTTAAGGAGACAGATGCAACCTCCAGACTAAAGTTGAAGACTGCTTTGGGCACTGCCCTACCCTTCTCTCCCCAACTCCTCCACCATACACATATACTAGGCTCTCCCACCTGAACTGAAGTCCTTGAAGCCAGGAGGCTCAAGGGTGAGTGTGCAGCTACACTGAACACAGCTAGCTCCAATCTTTACTTAAGCAAGATGAACCATCTTCCTCTGAAAAGAAGGGAAGAATAATTTCAGAAAGTCTTCAGGTCACCTCCAGCCCTCTCTGGACATTCTCTTCCCAATGGTGGGAGTTTTCATTCCTGGACTCTGAGCCCTCACTGCCCATGCCAGGGAGACTGTATCCTTATCATTTCATGTAAATGACAAAGCACTATATACGCAAACACCTTCCTACATCCTCAGATACAGACAACCATAGGATTACGCCTAGATAAGTGAAGAAGAAACGGAACCCCAGAGAGGGTACAACAGGTCCTCAGTCACTCAGCAAATGTGGGTCAGAGCAGGGATTGGAATCTACCTCCTGCCTCCTCTGTTATGGCAGTTTATTTGTTTGTTTAATTAATTAATTAATTAATTGAGAGAGAGAGAGCACGTGTGAGCAGGGGGAGAGGCAGAGAGAGGGAGAAAGAGAATCCCAAGCATGCCACACACTCAGCACAGAGCCCAACACAGAGCTCAGTCTCACAAACCATGAAATCATGACCTGAATCAAAATTAAGAGTCAGATGTTTAACCAACTGAGCCACCCAGATGGCCCTGTTATGGCACTTTATTGTTTTTTTAATGCTTATTTTTGAGAGAAAGAGACAGAGCGCAAGCAGGGGAGGGGCAGAGAGAGAGGGAGACACAGAATTCGAAGCAGGCTCCAGGCTCTGAGCTCTCAGCACAGAACCCAATGCAGGGCTCAAACCCATGGGCTGTGAGATTGTGACCTGAGCCAAAGTTGGACGCTTAGCCAACTGAGCCACCCAGGTGTAGCACTTTACATGACAGAGATTCACTCTTGAGCTAGCAAGACCTTGCCAGGGTTGAAAAACCCACTTCTACAACTTCTGGGAATTTCTGGATTTTCTACCACATCTAGACCTCTTTCTATCCCTTCCCAAGTCTTCTTAGGCAGTACAACCTTTCTGGGACCCAGAGGAAGACTATGAAATTCCAGAGGAAGCAACATTCAGAATCACAGGGATCTTCTAGTCATGCTAACATCAGGATAACCATGGCTCCAGAGGCTACAGAGCCAGTGAGTGGCAGAGCCACTAGACCCTGAGACCCTCCTACTCCTAGTTCCAGTGCTCCTTTCACAGCCAGTGCTACCATGTGAGAACTGGACATGCAATGCAATTATGCTTCCCAGGTTTCAGTAAGGGCTGGGACCCCAGGATCCAGCACACCAACCTGCACAAAGCAGGCCAAAGTTGTCAGAGTCTGGAAACCCTAGGCCAATATGCAATCCAATCTGCTTCTCCAATAGACAGGATTTTTTCCTGCTCACACCATGGTCCCTACCCCTGGGTGCATCCTATTCCATTCTCAACCCTGATAACCCTATAATTCTGGGCCATTTGTTACCTTCTTTTAAAAAATACTATCTTGCCCTTTTTGGAATGATGAACAGAAGGCCTAAAAGCCATTCTCTTTCTGGAAAGGATTTTGTGTTACCCAAGAAACAAATGGCTAGTGCCAGAGAGAGTGAGAAAACCAGTTATCAGAAAGACAAGTTCTTTCTCTATAAGTTCCTCTTTCATATCTTTCCCCATTCTCATACCCTGCCCCTCACCAAAACAAAACAAAACAAAACAAAACAAAAAAAACAAGCTCAGAAAGAGATAAGACTTAACACCTCTAGCTAGGGAAGGATTAGCGTTATGATGGGGCAAAACCTGGGTGTCTGCACAAGGAGCTTCAGTCCTTCTTCCCAGCCCTGAACCCTCCACCCCTTCCTTGGAATTTCCCCCCACCTTCGAGCTCACCAGGGCCCCTCCAGGCTGACACAGAGTCTAGCTGAACCTACCTGCACTCAGTCTGCCCCCATCAGACCTTGCTTACTCATTCTCTCCATGTTGGGAAAGATGAGCTGCTTTACTCAATAGCTCAGGACCTGCTTTAGGGGGTTGGTTACTGACCTTTGGTGCTAGGAAAAGGAGTTCACGTTGGTTAATCCCTAGGTGCTTTACATAGTTACCTTGCTTGATCTCCCAAACAATCCCCATTTTACAGATGAGAGAACTGAGGCTCAAAGAGGATCAGTAGGTAAGCCAGTTTCACAGCTCAACCAGTAGCAGAGCTGAAATAAGAACCCACATCTGACCCCCAAACTCATGTTGCTTTCACTGTTGAGTCAATAAATGTTTATTGAAGACCTTTTTATTCCAGGCACTGTGGCTCTTGCCCTCCTGTATCTTGGAAAGGGAGGCAGACAGTGAATAAGCAAAAAATCCCCATGTAATTATGAACCACGAGAAATGCTAAGAAGCAAATAAAAACAGGGCATTACTAGAGAGTGACGGGAAGGACTTAGCAATGCCACAGGCACTTTCTTGGGGCAAGATGAGAAGTCATAAGAAGGCCAGGAAGCAGTTGAGACTGCTCAGGGAGGTCTGGAAGGAGAGCTGAAGAGCCTGACATCTGGGCTGGTATCTCCCTGACTTACCATGGGTGGGCCAAGGCTGGTTCTCTCACAGACCCTGCCTCCCATCCAGCTCCGCAGCATACACTGCCATTCAGTTTTCAGGGTTTCCTTCCTTGCTGTCTCCAGAGTCTCTGTCACCAGACAGAGGTCTGCTCTCATTTCTCCAGATTGATTGCAACAAAGTAGGTAGTTTTCTCTTCAACTCACTGGAGGGAATAGAGGGGAATAGAGCTCAGGCTCCCAGGAGTGACATTTCTCCCTCTCCATCAGCTAGTTCCTATTTGAGATGAAGGGTCTCTGGGGCTGGAAAACCAAAGAACATGGCACCCCATCGTAGTCACTTTACCCACTGTGGGAGCAAGGAAGTGGGAAGTGGGAAGAGAACTCACTAGCATCTGTGGAAGGCTACAATGTGCCAGCACCATGAGATACTTCACATGGCATTTCATTTCACCCCTCACCACAAACTTATGGTGTAGGCAGAATTGCACCCATTATCATGAGGAAACTAAGGCCTAGAGACAGGTTGTGAATGGTCCAAGGTCACACAGCTAATGAGTGTAGAGTTGAAATTCAAATCCTAGTCGGTAGGAGTCCAAAGCATGAGCCCTTCCCATGGCACTGAGACAGGCATCTTCCCAGATCATCACACCCAGTTCTCGGGAGTTGGGGTTCCAGTTCCTCATACTGGTCCCTGGGACCTGGCCACATTGTCCACAGCCTTGGGCTCCAGAAGGCATCTCTGATTCCATAAGGAAATGAATGTATTTTGTCACTAAAAATAGCCTGATGGAACTTCTGGTATTTGCAAACAACCCTCAAGGAAGACCTACATCCTTGCCTCTGCTGACCTCCCTCTACCTATCTAATACCTCCCCAACCCCACTCTATATGCACACACCACAGGGCCTCATACTAGAAACAACAGGCATTCTAGAAAAAATTGAGCTCCCTTTGAAAAACTCCAAAGACCCCTCCCCAGCAACACTATGGTAGGGAGGGGTAGTTCAAAGGACCAGTAAAATTTCAGTGGAAGCCTTTCACTTTTTAGCTAAAAAGGAAAAACGGGCGCCTGGGTGGCGCAGTCGGTTGAGCGTCCGACTTCAGCCAGGTCACGATCTCGCGGTCCGTGAGTTTGAGCCCCGCGTCAGGCTCTGGGCTGATGGCTCAGAGCCTGGAGCCTGTTTCCGATTCTGTGTCTCCCTCTCTCTCTGCCCCTCCCCCATTCATGCTCTGTCTCTCTCTGTCCCAAAAATAAATAAACGTTGAAAAAAAAATTTTTAAAAAAAGGAAAAACAAAAGGCATTTCACTCAAGGAGGGCTAGGCCAGGAGAAAGGTTGAGTCCCCTCCACTAAGCTGCTCCACACTCTCCAACAATTTCAGCTAGGGGAGAAAACACCCACACCAACAATAAAATGCCCGCTGAGGGAGAAAGCTGGTGATGTCCCTGTAAGTCCCTTGGAAGCACCATGCCCTCAACCATCAGAAACTCTGTGGTAGTTGGTTAGTGCCCCCCTGATGGGGTGGAGTTGTGGCACTTTCTGTGCAGGAAATGTTCTACAGGGGTGCTGTGATTTCATTGTGCTTCACTTTGACTCTCTTAGTGAGCGCCTACGGTGTGCTGTGGATAAACACAGAGAGGTTAGTAAAAGCTGTTGCGGTCACAAGCTATTCCCAGTCCACTGAGGAACAGGGGCATGGCTTGCCACAAGGCAGAGCAAAACAGCACAAAACACAGATCTTGGCAACTCATAGGAGAGCAGAAAGTGGCCTCTTGAAACCAGCAGGTTTGGGTCCAAGCCAGAAGAATCAATCACCCTGGAGGGTAGCAGGGAAGCAAGTGAGCTGGGGGTGTTGGAGGGTTTCCTGGAGGCTGATGCATGAAGAATGAGAAGGCTTTCCGAAGGGGGAAGAGGAGGCCACGCTTGAGTAAGGAACGGGCTTGGGAAGTGCCAGGAATTGGGCGTGAGGGACTGCACTGGCCGGGGCACCTCCATCTCAGATGCTCTTGATGCTCAAAAGGGGTATCTCCCCCTCTCACTCCCCACTGCTGCCCATCTCCAGCCTCACCTGTTCTCAAGGGAATCCAGATACTGCTGGGTATCCAGGTCTCCAATGTCTTGATTCTCTGCTTGTGGGATCTGTGGAAGGTCCCTGCAATTATTATTTCTTTGGATAATTTCACTATCAACATTCCTTTTGAGTCTACCACATCCAGAACTTGGAACTCAGCCTTTTGGCCTGGAAAGGGTAAAGGTCATACTGAGGCTGACCCAAAAGATCTCTCTGCAGAAAATTCTCCCCGGAGCAGCCCCATCCTGGGCTCCCCCTCTACAATCCCCTTCCCTTCTGCAGAGATCCTCCAGCTGTGGCTCCCAGGAAATGCTGTGCTCATCAGGAGTCACCACAAGGGTCACATAATCCCAGGTTTGCACCTATTCTGCCACCTTCTTACCAAATGACCTTAGATAAGTCACTTAACCTCTTTGAATCTGTTTCTTTATTCATGGAAGGAGAATATTGATAGTACCTACTTCCTGTGCTTGAAGAAATTAAATAAAAAATGCAGTTAGGCACTTAGCAAAATGCCTTGCACACATACTAAATGCTCAATAAATGTGAGCTAGTCCTATTTAACTATCTGAGAGGCTGAAATGAGCCAAGGAAAAGTAAAGCTAAAGAATTAGGAGCTCTTGCCAATTGAGAAATAAAAATTAAGCAGACTTCAGTCTCCGGTGTTTGTATGAACCACGCAGGTGTAAAGTGAAGCAATCCTGGACCACCGCCTATCCGTGTGGACTCTGCCCAGACTGATCAGCCACTTTCATAAGGGCCTTGATTCCGAGTCAGCTGGTGTGCCGGGGTTAGCGGAGCATGTGTGGAGATGCTGCCAACTGACTGCCTTTCTCTCAGACCTCCCAAATGTCAACCTACAGACGAGGAGGAACTCATACAGCCAGGTTTAGGGGGTCGGGCAGGGCTGGATCTCCAGAGACAAACACATTTTGTAACTGACGGAAACGTGACAGAACCGGAAATGGTGCCTCAAATCAGTCCTGTATGGGTTACACTAACATTCTAGGATCCATTTGTTTTTTGATCAATGTAAAAGTGTACATGTACTTTATCCAGGACAAAAGAAAAATCAAGCCTTAAGCACAAAAACAATGTAATATATGGGGGTGGGGGGAGGGGCGTGCTAACTTTACAGTAGAGAAACTTGACAAACACCACCTCAGCCAGGTGACCAAGGTCAACATTAACAGTGATAAGTCATGTTGATAGCACATACCCTTGATATGATGCAGTGAGAATAGTACCTTACCTCGATGGTCTTCCTCTCCAAAACCCATTACTTCAGTCTAACCATGAGGAAAAAAAGTCAAGCAAATTCCAATAGACAAGCATCCTATAATATGCCTGACCAGTACTCGTCAAAACTGTCAAGATCATCAAAAATAAGGAAAGTCTGAGAGACTGTCAGAGCCAAGAGAAGCCTCAGGAGATACAACAACTAAAGGTAATGTGGTATCCTGAATGAGATCTTGGAACAGAGAAAGGATATTAGGTGAGAACCAAGATAATCAGAATAAAGTATATGGACTTTAGTTAATGGAAAATAAAACAAAACAAAACAAAAACCTATGCCACCTTAACCACATCATCAGCACCATATAATTAAAAAATAATCAATTTGAGAAGGAAGCAGGCCAAGTTGCTAAAAATCAATTCAAATTACCCATCCACTTCATTCTTAAGGATTTTTTTCAAAGTTTGGTTTCACCTCTGTCCCTGATTTGTTTATGCAAACAGACAGACTTTCCCTTCAAGGAAGTTAACTTGTCAATTTTTTTTCTGTACTTAACGCTTTTCCCCCTGTCCCTGGGGAGTAATATCATGGCAAAACACCCTAGTCCTAAAGTTTTTTTCTGTTTTCAGTGAACTGGTCATCTGGCAAACTGGTTTTTGGAGACTAGCTTTTAGTAAATTGGCTCTTAGCGATTTACTTTTCAGAGAATTGACTCAGTCTTTGAAAAATGATCATCTGAAATTTTCCTGAAGCCCCTTGCTCACTTAATGAAACCACTTGTGGAAAGGCCCAAGTAATCTGGACGCTGCTCTTGGTCACATAACGGCTATGCCTGGCACATAGCAGGTGCTCTAAAACTATACAGTGGTACTGTTTGCATTCTTTTCTTAATGAGATCCAGATGGGCTGTAGCAAAGACGTCTGAGCTGTAAAAGTCCTTACCCTGAGGTCTGAGACACTGAAATAAGTCTTCAGGCGAGGGTTCAGCAACATTTACCCTGGTGCTTCTGCAACCCAAAAGTCTGAGTTTGGAGGCAGGGGAATGGAACAGACTCCTCTAGAAATCCCTCAAGCCTTTAGGGAGTTCTGCTCACCCATCCAGTCTGATCTCCAAGGGACACGAGGGATAACAGCCGCCAGCAGAATGATGGGGCTGAACTTTGACTGAATGCTCCTTCTGCACAACCACTGTCATAAATGACCTGATTTATATCATTTGAGTCTTGTAACATTCTTGTCAAGTTGACAGCTGAGGAAACAGACTTAGAGAGAGAGAAGGCAACTTGTCCAGAGGCCGCCCAGCTGGTGAGTGGCAGAGCCAGGCTTAGAAACGAGGTGCCCTCAGCTCTTAGGCCTGTGTCCTTTCCTAACCACTAAGCAAACTGCCTCCGTTTATTTATCCATCTAACTGATAAACATACAAACACATCAAAAGACCTTAGCTAACTTAAAAGTGAATTATTTACAAAAAGAAAACATGGGAAAGGAAGACAATTTAGGAATAATTTTCAATAAAAATAAATTTTCACTTACCCTGTTCTTTCTCCCCATGCAGCTCTTCTGTGCATTTTTTTTTTCAAGTTTTCATTTAAATTCCAGTTAATATCTTTTGTGCATTTCTTAAACTGAGGTGTGTGGACATATGCAAACAAATTCTAGTACATACAAGTTCTTTGTTGACTGGCTGACGTGGTTGATGGCAATGGGGAGTTGACAGTGTGGTAGAGCAGGAGTGGGTGAAGTCTCCTGGCTGGCCATCTCTTACCCCCTCGTACTGACCTTGGAGCCCAGAATCCAGCTTATCAAACAGCACTTCACCCTCCTCTCTCTCCACTATGTCCTCTAGGGTGAGGTCTGTCCTGTGGTACTGGCATCTCCGGAAATTTCTCCTCCCACTCACCAAAGAGAAGCAGTGAAATCTGTCAGAGTCAAGGATGCTTCTGACAGCAAGCATCTCCCCTCCAGCTCCATCTCTTGGACCACAACTCGTGATTTCCTCAAATAGGCTGGACATTGTGCCTGGACCAACTGGAGACAAAGAAGCCAGTTTCAGTTTGGGGAAGGGAGATATTGGTTCAGGTTTTTAAATCTCCCTTTGGCAGCCTGGGGTCAATGAAGATCCAAAGGTTCTAGAACAATCAGGACTTGGAATTATTTGACTTCCCTGTTTCTAGAATGTGAGGTGGTCACTATACACTAAGGAGGGTAACCATCACGAATGCTAGATTCTCCTCTGCCCTTCATAGAACCCTTCTGGAAGAAAGATGGAACAGTGTTTATCCCAAAAGGAAAGTAAGAGTGAGGTCTGTTTTCTCCCACAGCAGAGTTGCCCCTTTGCTCAGAAGGGCCTGAGGGGTAGGAAGGCAGGCCCACCATCTTCCAGCCAGACCCCCACAGTGTTGATGAACAGAGGACCCAGGAAAAGATAAGAGGCATGGCTGCCAGACCTCACATTACCAACCCCCATGATTCCTTCTTCCCTTGGCTCTGACTCCTGGGCCTCCCTCCCTTGCTGTGTTCTGCAAGGTAGTGGGATGGGTACTCCTACCAACCATTTCCCAATGAGATAGTGATAACTCTGCCTCAGAAGAAAACGAAAGAGAAAGGATGGAATGCAAGAGTGGCTTGGGGGTAGGTGCCCTGGATAGCCCTCCACCCCCAGGTCCTGTCTCACCAGTTACTGGTCACCATCTGAAAGGTCCTCTTACTCTTGGAAAAATAAAATGAATCCCAAAACTCTACCTGGGGCCTCTCCCCCACCCACTTTCCTCTTCACCCTCTCCTGGTCTACAGTTGGCCCCTGTACCCCCGCCCCCAGCTCCCCTGCAGAACCCTCCATAGGCTCATTACCAAATCCAACCTGATACAGCCGGTCCTTCCCTTTTCCTACTCAGCAGCAGCTCTTTGTCCCCACCACACCAGACCCTTCCCGCACTCTTACCTCCAAATCCTTTTCCCTCTCCCCTTCCATCAATCACTCTGCAACTCCTTCCTCTTTCTTCAGGCTCCTCTGTTTTCCTCCTGGGGCCAGGACTGCCCTCACAAGCCTTCTGGTCTCCACTTCCCTATCCTACATCTGGCTACCTTCCCCTAAGTCCCTTCTGGCTGGCCCAGGCATCTGCTCACCCATGCTCCCTTCTCCTTCCCTGCCCCCATCATGGTGGCCAGCTCTCAGCTCAGTCTCAGCCTGGGAATTCTTCTGGCTGCCTGGAAAGGCAGTGCCCAGGGCCCACAGGCCTATCTTGGGGGTCACTCACCTCAGCTGCTCACGAGGAATGGAGGTTGTGAGAATCCCCTCTGTAAGAGCTCTGTACAGGTCCTGGCCACCGTGTCTCAGGAAGCCCTAAGAAGGGAACTGAAAGAACTGGAAAGCTGGGTAGTGCTAGGTGCCCCATCTTTCAGGCCTTTAGATAAGCCACATTATGGCTGGGCTGGAGGCAAATAAGGCCAGAGGTAAGATAGGTAAGATAGGTAAGATAGGTAGGATAGGTAAGATAGGTAAGATAGATAGATAGATAGATAGATAGATAGATAGATAGATAGATAGATAATCTTTACCTGGTATGTATTCTAGGTGGGTTTGGGGCCAGAGAATGGTGCAGGAGGCATACTGGACCATGCAATCCAAGTGCCAGCAGGCAACGGCTATGGTCGTGTCAGGGGTATGAAGAGAGCGATAGAGCTGGAAACAGCTACCATGCTGCCATGCTGCGGTGGGCAAGGCTGAAGACTGAGAGCTACAACAGCCAACATCTGTGGGGAACAGGCTGGCCAGCAAGGAGGACTCAGCCTTCCTCCCCACACATGCTCCCACATGGCCCTCTCAGGGAGACGCCTCCACCTGTCCTCTCCACCCACCTCCTTCTCCAGAGAGAGGCCTCTGGCCCCCACCCCTCAGTCCTCAGAGATAAACCACCGGAGCGAGCCTGGCCCGTCTCCTGGCCCCCTTATCCCTCAGTTCCAAAACAACCTTAAAGAAATTATGGTGGTAGTTAACGACAGTAATGATACTAATGTGGCTATCACGTGTTCAGTATTTACTATACCAGGTGTTGTGCTAATCCTACAACAGCCCTTATGCCTATTATCCTTCTACAACAGAGGAAGAAACTGAAGCTCAGAGAAGTAACTTGGCAAGGCCACAAGTCTAGTAAGTGGCAGAGCAGGATTTGAACGCTGGTTGTTGTTGATGTGCCCCAGCCCCTCACCCTGACTATACTCCTGCAGGTCCATGGAAGCTCCCAGGGCACCCCCACCCCCAGGACTGGGCCCAGGGAGGTGTACTGCTCCTCCCAGCACTGTGTGGGCCTCACTCAGCAGACGTGGGCAAAGACCCTGCACTCTTCCCAGCACCCACTCCAAACACACTGTGACGCTGGCCCAGAGCCAGAGAGAAGCCCAGCCTGCCTGAGGCAGCTCCTCCCATCTACCTGGGACTTTGCACCTGTCCTAGGAATAGCACGTAACACTGCCACAGCTCACACTGAGCGGTCCAGAACCTCAAAGATCAGAGTTCCTCCACTAAAGGACTCCTCCCCTTTCCTGGCCCCAGGAGCCTAAATGAGTCCTGGGGGGCTACCTCTTCCTCTCCCACTCATGCTCATGGCAGAAGGGAGGAAGCATGAAGATTCCTCCAAAGACAGAGGGGCCAGGAGGAAATGCAGCACTCCCAGGGAAAGAGCACTAGGGGGAGAGAAGTGAGAGCTGGGAAAGGCATTCTGAGGAAAGGGCTGGGCACCCCTCGGGACTCCGCCTTCATTTATGAAGTCATTGCCCAACTGACCCCCTTCCAGGCCACGCACAAGCCATCACTCAGCCAGCCCACGGAGACCAGAGGTAGAAGTTCTGACAGATGAACCGCCAGGCCAGGTCACAGAGCAGGATTCTGCTGCTGCCTCTGCCAGTTCCCATCAGCCCCTCAGGCTCTCTCCCGCTCTCTCCCCTGGGAGCAGCAGGAAGACCAGCAGCCCCAGAGCCCCTCACACTGCCCTCAGCAGGAACTGCTGCCCAAACCCCTGCCCCCTCCCCCAGGGCCCTCCAGGAAGCAGAGGCCAGACTCAGGGGAAACAGGAACACATTGTCCTTTATTTGCGTTTCTCAGAATACTGTACAAAGGGAGTAAAAATCCTATTCACACGTTGCTTAGAAAGATTTCGAGGTGAAAGTTCCCTATGATACATGGGGTGGGGGGTAGGGGGGCCAGGAGGCAGGAAACAGGACCAATGTCCTCCCCTCCTCCCTCAGGGCCCTGGAAGGGGTCACGGGCACCCACACCTTTTCAAAAGTAACACAGACCCTGGTCAGATTGGGGAGGGGAAAAAGGCGGCTCCTCTCCAGCCCACACTCAGGCTCCTGCCCATCTCCCGCCCTCAGGCTGAGGAGACAGTGCCCGCAGGTCACTCCTGGCTCCTTCTACTACCCTGCTCGAGCAGGGACCATTCTGTGGCCCACCCACCCCATTTGGGGGTGGCCCCATAGCCCCACATGTACACACAAGAGGCCCCGTCCAGCTCCAGTCTGCATGAGGAGGCTACGAGGTGAAGGCTGCAGAAGGGCCCCACCATTCATCATTTGTCCCGGTTTCCCCACACCCTCACACCCCTGCACAGGGCAGTGTCAAAGCGGACATGTGCTAACGTGCTAACGATGACTCATGGGCCTCTTCCACCCCTCTCCACTCCTCACACTAACCCCGGAGCTGTAACCCCCACCTCCGACCCCACAGCCTCCCTTCCGACTATCACCACCATGCCTGGGGAAATTAACTCTCCGAGCCTGACCACTTCCCAAAGGATGAGGCTGAATCTGGCTTCTGTCCCCACACTCCTCCCTTATACCAATCTCTGTGGCTACACGGCCCCTTCCTCCAAGTCTCAATTCACTGTCCCCATCCCCGCCCCCCAAACCATCCTCCCCACCTCCACCAGGCCCAAGATGAGAGTGGCCATGGCCCCCTCACCTCTGAGACCAGGCCATCCACACCCAGCCCCACCATCCCTCTCCTCACCCTCCCCGCTCCCATCCAGTGCCCCGGGTGGGCTGTAGGGGAGCTGCCAAAAGCATGAGACTTGCAACAGGCAGTTCTCTACCCAGAGAGATGAGGCATCGTCGTGCACTTGCTTTTACACATACGAGCACACACTGAGTGTCATCCTAAAAACTTAAGAATTAAAGTGAACCAATCTAGAAGCTGTACCGGCCCCCCTGCTCCTCTTGCAGGGGTTAAAGTGCTTTAGCAGTCTGAGGATGAGCAAGTGAGCAGGGGGTTTCTCCTGTCCCAGCCTCACAGGTTGGGAGCCCAGCCCGTCCCATGACTGCCCCCACGGAGTCTCTATCCAAAAGGCAAAAGGAAAAGATCAAAAAAAATCAGAAAGGGTCAGAGACCTGGGGGGCCCACCTGAACCCCACTACAAGCTACGTCAAGTCGGCTACCAGGGAAATTGGAAGGGGAAACTAGGGCCCAGAGGCTCGACCCCCATCTCTAACAGGATCCAGAGGCTCCTTCTGTCTTCAGCTTCACAGCACAGGCCTCTACCCCTCCCCTACCATCCCAGGCAGGGGAAGGGGCGGCACCCTCAGTACTTATTGATTCCAAAAATCCGGACTCCGTGGAGCTGGGGCAGCTTGGGGATGAGCACACTCATCAAGGACACAGTGTTGAGGATGAAATGGATCTGGTCGTACTTGGTGTAGAAGCTGGTGAGGAAGTACCTGGGTGGGAAGGTTGGGAAGAAGCGTAAGACTCTGTTTGGAGGACCCTTCCTCCCTCACTCCTGGGTGGGGAGTGGCAGATCCCCAACAGGTGTGGAGTTATAGGAAAGACCCCCAGAACAGAAGTAGGGTGGCAAGATCTCCTCAGCTAGAGGTCCCTCCCGACCCAGTCCCCTTGCTTTATCCCAGGTCTGTGGGCTTACGTCACTGGCAGGAAGGCAGGGCCATTTGGTGAAACACAGGGCCAGGGAGGCACAAGGCCTAAGCCCAGCAGAAGAGCCCGGGATGCTCCAACTTCCCTGC